AAAAAGAAAAAAAAAGAAAACTACTTACAAGTTAATGATGCACGCTCGACTGATTCTTGATGTTAAATATTTATGGCGCCTGCGGGGCCTCTAGTCTGCGGAAATTCTTAATCTTACATCAAGTGACCCCACAATTAGTCCGGAACTGGACCCACTGTTATTTCTGTTTATTTCTGATCCTAATCAATGCGTGCGGGCACGCAAAGATGCATGGGAATGAAATCAGTACGGATTTTGTACTAGGATTGCAAGTAAAAACAATAAACAGAAGCTCCAGTTCTGAATTACCCCACAATTGGATAGAATTCATTTGAAAAACGTTTGAGTTAATCCTTCGGAATTCTGATTTCTGTTAGGCATGATTTTTTCGGGTTTCATTGATTTTTTCACGTTCTCGGTTTAACGAGTTTTATAAGCTCGTAAGTGACACGTTAGTTAGATAACGTAAATTCTATGCTCCAGTTCTGAGTTCTCTGTGGCTCAGGATTAGCTTCGATTGCAGAATACTTATGTGTCCCTTTGAAGATCCTTTGATCGAATTTAAAAGTATTTGGATTGTTGGCGATGTGCATTCTTTATTTACCATTGGTATATATGAATATTTAGACACTGCTTACGAGGCTAACCCTGAGTAAATGAGTCTGCAATCGAGGAACACAGCGGTAATTTGTAACTCGAAAATATTGTATTCTATTTTGTTTTATTCTATTCTTTTTTCCTTTTTCTGAAATTTTTATTGTGTTTTTAAATAGTCTTTTTTTTTTACCTGGGTGTGATGTGGAGCTTGGAACCTCACAAACCAGTCCATTTATTCTTTCTGTACAATCCTTTTTGAAAAACTCTTTAACATCATTCTTTACATAATAGCATTCGTTGTGGCTAGTATTTTGGTTAAGTCCTTTGTTAAGATTTGCAGAATTCCCGTTAACCCATTTAAGCTGATCAAGAGTTTTGTTGTATTGCAGTCCAACCCAGAATTCTACGTCATTGGCATTATGCTTAGTAATAATATTCTGTATTGCTGTCCGTTTCCCATTACTGCCCAAAATAGCAAGTGTACCAGTTTTATTAATTTCACACCAAATCTTTGCTTCGTTCCAATCTTTTTTCCAATTGCTTGACCAAATGACCCAAAATATGCTTTCATCAGGTACATCAAGTGGTATGTTAACGGAAACAAGGCCTGAGGAAAAGATAAAAATACGAGACTAGCTTTTAAAAGACGTACTTCAAAAGATGAATATTTTCGATACGTTTGATCATTTGAAAATGATATAAAAGGGCTCCCACACCCTAGTTTATAATTAAATACTCATTTGTTTACGACTGAAAGGCCATGTAACACCTGTGTGACATCCCTTTGCATGGCGGCCGTGTGATTGCCTGATTTTCTTTTGTAGGTAGAATGAAATTCGACAAAAAATCCTAAAAAGTACCATCGACTTTCTTTGGCATTCTCTTGAAAAGTGGGAAGCTAATTCCCCGAGCCCCGCTGCCTCCTCCTTCCGTGAAAAGGAGGCTGGAACCAGTTAAGAAGAAAAACTCACCCGAGGACGGATGGTCTGACTCTACGAAGATAGTCAATGACATCAACAGAGTGATGATACCAAGTATATTCATTATGTTCATACAGATTACTTCTATCCTCAGATGCTATTCACTTCTCAAAAGGGAAGTTCTAAAAACTGCTTCTCGTGTTCATGTGTCACGTGACCGTGACCGGGAAAAAAACAACTTGTTTCTTTCTTTTCTACGATTTTCTTGGGTCTGAAAGAGAAAATAAAATGAAAAAATAAAATAAAATAAACGATTGATTTTTAAAAAGATAACGCGAAATATTTCAAAAAGATGTTCCATGTCGGGATAACAAAAATGAATACTGTAAGCGTTCAGTATAATATGATTACAGTGGTTTTCCATATTCTGAGAACTCAGCCATTCAACAGCTTGTTGTGAAATTGGTTTTTACTGCCGGCAGTCAAGAATATAAAAGATACCGACTGATCATAAAAGGAACCAACTGATTATTTTTGATTGAAGGCAGTGAATAAAAAAAAAACAATTTTCAGCATGCAGCTAGCTTGTAATTACCGAGTTCGCAGAATATGTAAAACCGAAGTAAAAGCTACATTATGAAGCAGTCTTTGCCCGGGTGCATTCGATTAATGACTGCATATATAATTGCCACTTGTGCATATTATATGAGGGACCTATTTTTGATAGAGCTTATGTGCAAGGTCGCTTATTTCCAAAAGTGAAAAGATCAAGGCCCTATTATTTTGACTAAGTATTTCTCAAGAAATCTTGAATCGTGCAGACAGTATATGGCATTGGCAACAGGTACTGACTAAGAAATCTATTCAACACTTGAGAGCCATTTTAGCATCAACTACTTTGATGCTAATTATAATTTTAGTAAGAAGAGAATAGAATAAATAATGTTATCGACACGCTCAAGCTAATTAGTATTTTAAAATCTTTGAAAAGACGAAGAGCATAATTACAGCACTTATAATAATTAGTGCTGTGAACACCCTTAAGGACGACGTTGGCGGACATTGTTCGCGTGCAGCCTTTCTACGCATGAGCTTAGTGCGCTCGCGCTCGATGTGATGACGTCATTTTAAAGTTTTGACAAGCAAAGTATCAAGAAAACCCATTTCTCACTTCTTTAAGGCAAAATATCTTGGAAACCAGTCCAGTGAACCCCCTTTCTTTGTCTTAAAAAAGAGATACTACCAAAATCTACAAAATATGTAAAGCTAAAAAAAATTCTGATTCCAAGGGAATGGTTGACACCAAATTTACGAAACGAATCCACCTGTTAACGAATTCAAATTGTATGCATTCTAAACTGCATCGCATGGATTGATAGAAAAAGAAGAGGAAGTATATTGATAAAAGTTGAACCATAAAGGTTTCAACCTATCGCACGAAACTTTACTTTGCTTTGTTTTTTTTTTTTCGTTTTTAGTATTTTACGCTGAGCAGCACTGATGTTATTGCGTTTTAGAAGTTGACCATGTGGTTTATCCACTTTCAAAATGCGCAAAAATGCCAAATGGATACTTTATCTGCAGCCTTCCGTGAAAACTCAATACATCAAAAATTGTTCCCGAATTTTCTTTCTGCACGAGAAGATTTCAGGACTTTGAGTCTGAGTATGCAAATCTCTAGTGAACAAAGGGCCTAAGAATTTGAAAAAATCGATAATAATATTATATATAAGAGCATTTATGAACAAGTATTTAAAGTATTGGCGGCCCAGTTTTTCTTCTGCTCAATTTTTTTCCAATTAAACAAAACAGTAGGTTGCCGACCAAAATGTCGTCAATAATATGCTTTTACAGCTTTTATCATTAAATCCATGTTCATTTTCTCTAAACTGCTGGAGGAACGTATTCTATAACTTGAGTGCTTTAATTTGCTCGAATAAAGTAGGCAAACATTTTCACATAAGAGTTTCTGGAATATTCAAATAACTTAACAAATAATTAAAAAATAATTCCTTATTATTATCTATTTGCTTTTACATGACTGATTTTTTTGTTTTTCTTGGTTTTAAAATTAAAATAAAGGTTTGCTATTTATATTCGTTTTTTGATGAGCAAGAAATGTTTATAGAAATCATTTTATGACGAAGAAGTTTCATCCTAGCGTATCAATCTTGATACTGAGCTCAGAATGACTTGATGATATATATTCTATTCATAAAAAATATTTTGTTTCAAAACTTTCTCCCTACTAGATAAATCCTTCCCGTCAACGGATCTACAACTGTATTTACTCACTATTTTCTTGTTGTTCTTGTTGGATTAAGTATAACTTGTTGACTTTCATGGAACTGTCTAATCGATATCATGTGCTCCGGAAGACTGGCTAAAGAGAATACATAAACACGTTAAATAAAATATACTAAGTAAAAGCAAAAGAATTCGACATGAGTTCTTGTGTTATCTGTTATAGGAAACATATAAGATAGCAAACAGTGGGGTTCAGGATAAATCAATGAAAGTATTCTATAAGGCGCGGATGATTATCACTATTTTTGGCGTGATATATTAAAGTGGCAAAAGACAAATTAAGGCTCTCTAAATTAGCAACATCAAAGGGATAAATTGATCGCCTAAGATCGCCTAAAAAGCCTTCGGTATTATATCAATTACATCACCTTATTAACGCGTGCTATATTTCAAGCCTTTGGACAAAATCTCTTTTCATTCTAAGAATTCTAACTTTGTAGCATTAACTTGAAATAGAAACCTTTCACTTCGCTGAACACGAACAAAAACTAGCTTAGTAATTTTTCCTGTTGCGTTATTGAATGATGAAAGTCAAATTGACGAAGTCAGTCAAAAGGAACAATGTTATTATATGTAGGCATGCAAGGACATGATTGGGTAGTAAATTATAAACAAGGTTGATGAAAAATTTTCGTAGCTATAAAAAGAAATTCATGAAGGGGTTTTGAAATATTCATTATTGTTTCTATGACGAGCGTGATGATATGGTAACGTTGTAGTGGTGCAATTATCGTGGTTCTTTAATCATTTTTATAGCAGCTGTTTTTTCGTTGGGATGACTTTTCAGTCCTTCTTTTTTTTGTTTTTTATCCACCTTTTCTATCCTTGGTTCTTTCGTATAATTACTTTCCTTTCGTTTCCTTTCGTTTCCTTTCGTTTCCTTTCGTTTCCTTTC